ATAAAAGAACAGGGCAAGGGATTCAAATATATTAAGAGAACTGCATTAGGTGGAATTTATATTCAATTAGGTTTAATTAAAATTCTATGTCTTATTAGGTCAATATACATTCATAATTTTTATTTTTTTTTTTTTACATTTTTTGACTTAATTTAAGTTAAAATGACCGTTTTCAATAAAATCTGAATTAGAACTAAAGAAAACTGATAAATTCAGCCGTAAAAATGTTTAAAAAATAGTATTGTTTTGAAAAAAACATTTAGCAGATGAAAACTTGGATCCTATCTCAATGCTACTAAATCTATCACCTTATTGTTTTTAAATAATTAGTAAAACAGAATTTGTAAAGAAAAAAAAATGAAATAGATCCAAAGGACCCATCAGTAACCATCTCTGTTCCAGCACAGACAGTATCAGGACATGATGTACAGGGGCACTGGCCCCCGTTGGCTCCCGTCTAGAACTGCCCATGATCAATGCACACATTTAGCAACACACAGGAGCTCTTTCAAGCTGGGCACCGTTTCATTCACAACACCTGTCCCATCAACCAGGAATCAGAATCAGAAATACTTTAATAATCCCAGGGAGACATTACTTTTATTACACTACTCCATCTGTAACAGAGTGACTATAGGACCAGTTTGATATTACACAATTTCATACAATATACCGTATATAATTAGGGGGTCCCCGCTCCATCTCGCCATTAGTTTGGGGATCCTTGGCCTGGAAAACGTTGAAGACCACTGCCCTAATGCATCGTATCTGAGACGTGTGCCAAAAACCTAACAACCAAAGCAAAAAGCAAAGAATATTCCAACCAATTAAAGCTTTTAAATCAACTCAATTCATGGAAACCTTTGAATCAGTTTTCATGAAATGAGTTTTCTCTTTTGTTTACCAAAATTACCTCCGTGATATATGTAAAATAATCTCCTGAATTTTCTTTGCCACGTTAACAGCTGCTGCTATTCTGTCAGTTTTCTTGCCTGGTTTTTCCTCACCTCTCACTTTGCACACACCTTGCCACTCGAAGGGGTTAAATAACCAAATACTTTATAGTTTTTACAATGTCACTTTTTTTGTTTGTTTTCTATTGTAAAAAGCACATACAGTATTTAAAAAAGAACTCATATTTTAGGGGTGACTTGATACAAATTAGGGTTGCTTCAGCGCCCCCAAGAAAAGACTAAAATCTGCGATGCCTGACATTAAATCTAACCCAGATTGTGACTGAATTATATGTTGGATTTCTATCTGCTCCACACTACCTATCCAACAAAGCATGTTCAAAGTGTTTAGTTAGGCTCTGTGCGTCTGAACAGCAGATGTCACTAATGCCTTGTAATGGACCAATAGGAGCTGACCTGTCTGAGATTCATGCAGTAAGCATTTATCAGAGATTGTAAGAGATTATAATAAATCAGATTACTGCATCCTAACCTGCCTATAAAAAGCAAGGTCATTAAGAGCTTAGCCTCATGTAATGTCACTCGTTTTATGAAATCTATTAGATTATATGAGACGATATTTGTGTTGCTGTTTTGCCTCTTTTTTTAATCTGATTTCTGCCCTGATCTCTTACTAATACGCTTAGATAGTGCTACTTAAACTCCACATTCAGGCTAACTAGGATCTTTAAATATCTCTATAAATCTGAAAAGAAACATTTCTTTCTTCCGTCTTTAAGAATGTGGAATCCCAAACCAAAACACTGATTTTACATTTAAGATGTTAACCAACGTTTTATTATGTAGAACAAGAGTGAAAGTAAAATTAAACATTTTGCAAACATAACTTTTTTTTATTGTCAATGAAAACAGTCTGTTGTATGCAGTACTTGAGATGAGGAGGGATGGCATCCCCTTTCTTAAAAAAAATCTTAAAAATCATACCCCTTCTTAAATGACCATTCCCCCATATCATCCCCTATCACATTTTATTGCTGAATGTGTAAAAATTCTACTATATATTAACAGTAATGGCAATAATATTGCCCTTTCAACATCTGAAGGGCTGTGGGCTTATGAGTAGCCTAAGCAAAATAAATGGTTTACCATGATTATGAAGCTGATCCCAGTGTTAAATTAGTCCCTAACTGTGTAGGGGCAGTGATAGCCATGCCAGTCAGGGACTGACTGCAGTTCTACTGTAAGATTTCTTGGTCAAAGTCATACCTGACATGGAACAACAATACCATGCATATTGCTTTAGGTTAATAGACTATATTAATTAGGCTATGTATGCTTCAAATTTTTTTTATTTTTACTGGTTACTGGTTTACTGGTTGTATGCGGTGGACTTTTAATGTAACAGGTTTAACTGTGTCTGTATCTGTTAGAAAGTGATGTAATGTTTGATTCGGTCATATGAAGTTGAGGAAAGATTGTTTTTCTTGAATCGTTAGTTTTAATGCAGATAAAACGGAGGTCTCCTTACAGCAGGGCTGAGGAACCTTCACAGCACAAACGGATGAGAGGGTGAATCCAGGGGCGACTAAATATTGGCAGCAGGTAGAAACCATCACCTGTCTCTCTAAAAAAAAAAAAAAATGGCTTAAATGTTTATTTCCTTACATCCTAACATCTGACTCTGCTATATCAAGTAACCCTGCTCCTTTACATACACCCACAAGAACAGTACATTTGCCTTTGTGGGTTTTATTTCCTTCATACAAGCGTGTGTGCTCACCTTTATGGTGTTTACTTACTGTCTTTGGAGGTGAGCTTAAATGTGGCTAACTAACAACTAAACAAAAATAGAAGAGAAAAATAATATTTTGACAAATAGTTAGAATTTTCCCCTTTACTTAAATGACTGTCACCACTGTATTCATGTTAAAGTTGCAGTATAAGTGAAGGCAGAGTTGGCAGTAATATTCTGGAAGGTTCTCACAAACCAGGGCTTTCTCTGAAGCTGCTTTCGTCCCCCATCGGACCGAACCCAAAGCACACTTTGTTGCCTCAGAGGACTGCAAAGTGTTCCACGTCTCCAAGTAACGCCTTAACCTACTGAGCATTAACTCCTCCTCAGAGCGTGCTGCCTGGAGAACCGGTGATAATGATTAAGACCTCTCTGTGTTTCAGTGATGGTTCACCCACAGGACATGTATCCCCAGTGATTACTTATCCTAAGCAAAAGCACAGAGACATTAGTTTTATAAAATATAAAAAATGACAAAGGTAATCTCATTAAAATGCATTTCATATGCACACTTATTTAATAAAACTGCTTATTTTAAGAGAGTTAATAATGAACAATGCTCAGAATGAAATAAACCAACAGGAAAGTATTGGAGGAAATAACTACAATTTGATCCTTTATTTTTCCATCCTCTCTGAAGCACTTTTCAGGCTGGCACCGTGTGTGTGGTAAAAACTGGCCCGTCTGCTTTGAATTTCAAATGAAACAGTGCTGTTATTTCCGAGGTAGCAGTTCAGCGTACCGACATTTTCATATCACACGTAAAAAGCAACTTTCTGTCACGCACTCTGCTCACCAAGATTCTAGTATAACATACATACTGTCAAACATTTGCTTTCCCAGATTAAAAAAAAAAAATTTAATGCAATGCAATAAGTATTTTATTCCTATTGAGATTATTTCTGGGCTAATGCGTCAAGCCTTTTAAAACACAATCATAAGAGGATCCAGGAAGGTTTTGCAACAGACAAAGAAAAGTTTTTTCTATAGGGATGTCTTTAACAGGGGGTCCGTAATCCCTAGGGGGTCTGTAGAGATACTGCCTGGGGTTCGCAAAAGTTTTGGTTGATTAGAATTTTTTATTTTTTTTATATTCCCCCCCCTGCAATTTTTTCCATTAATTTAAATTTCTTTAAATTCACATTATCATGAATTCAGCACACTGAAATAAACAGATAAATGGAGACAGAAGATGTCTTTCAGTCATCAATGCACACATTCAGGAGCTCTTTCAAGCTGGGCACCATTTAATTCTCAACACCTGTCCCATCAACCAGGAATCAGAATCAGAAATACTTTAATAATCCCAGGGAGAAATTACTTTCATTACATGTCTCCATCTGTAATAGAGTGACTATAGGATCAGTTTGATATAACACAATTTCATGTAATATATATAATTAGGGGGTCCCCGAAAATGTTGAAGACCCCTGCTCTATTAGATTTCAGATCCAGTATGCGTTTAAGAATGCTTCATAAAAATCAGCATCTAAGGATATTTATGTTTTGGAGGATATATAAGTTTTAGGATATATAAGTTTTGAATTCAAAACAGAATTTGAGAGTAAATGTAAAAGTTTGAGAATAAATAAAAAGGGGCTACGGCCAAGAGATGCCCCCGCTTTCTGATAGATGTGTAGATTTATTTATTTTTTGTGGTGTAAAGTGGGTAAATATTCTCTAGCTCCATCTGAATAAGACAGGAGACTGTAATAAGATTTTCAGATTTAGATCTATTTCATTTCTAAAACTAAGCTGTTTGTTTTCCCTGTTGAAAAAAAATGCATTATAAAAAAAATTATTTAAAAAATGTTTTAAAATTATGTGTTATTTACTTTTTAACAGATGTAAGAGTCTACCACTGTCCTGTTTTGTATTTCCTGTGTAATAATCTTTTTTTATTCATGTTTGAAATTATGTTAGTTCACAGTTAAATAATTTTTTCTATTTTAAAGCCATGTTAAGCTAATTATAGGGATATGTTGTTTTGCTAATAAAGTGTTTTTGTCACTTTTAGAAACTGAAAATGTGGAACCTCTTGCTTGAGACCAATGTTTAAACTTACTTCCGAGTATACTAGTTGCTCACCGTGTTATTATAAACTTTGATTTCATGAATATAACCCATCTGTTGGTTTGGGTATCAGAGTTTCGCAGGTATATGTCATTTTTTTGGGGGGGATATGTTTTGGTTACCGAAGATGGCAGTGTTCGCTGATGTGTAGAAGTGGTCTCCGACCCTCCGCCGTGCGTTGTGACGCTGCCGTCAGCGTGGGGTTTCCCAGCGCTGAATGCAGGGTTACCGCGCCCATCTCTGCTGTTTGATGGCCGCAGGAAGAAGCGACTGAGATCCTGGCGTGAAGGAAGAAACAGAAGGGGACGACGACGGTTGGGAAAGACGAGGAAGGGACATTAGCTTTAGTTGGAATATTTTTTTAACCAAACATTGGGAACGAACAAACGAGGCTTTGGCTCTTCCGTCTGGGTGAATACCGCCTCGTCTCTGCGCCTCTGAGCCGGTGTGTCTCCCCCTGTCAGTGGGTTAAAAAAAAACTGGGTTCGGGGAGTGCCGCTCCTCGGTGGCTAAACTTGATCAATCTGAGCGCCTGGGCTAAGAGGACACACAACATTTAACCGTTTCCAGTCAATGTGATACAAACGACGGATACCTTCGATTGAAAGCGGGTAAGGAACTGTATTTCTACTCATATTTGCGCTTCAGGAAATGCATTAACTGTGTGCAGTTGGCTAGCCTTCCGAGCAGAGAGGATGAACGACAAGGGTTAAACTTGGTTCTCCTCCGCTTAGTTAGCCGCCGTTAGCTTGTCGCTGACTAGTTATTGGTGCCAAGACTGTGGGTGGGGGGGTCAAAGATAAACTTAACTAACTGCCTCGTCGTCAGTGCTAATTAGCTTGCTCTTTTTAAAAGCACAACAAGCTAACAATTCCCTCCAGTTGGCAGAAAGGCTAATTAGCTATTCTGGACATTAATTGCTAGAATATGTGCGGTACTTAAGTTAGCTTAGCACCCCTCCAACGTCCGGGTATCTCCCCTCTCTTATTACCTGTGCTAAACCGCTGAAATATATCTACCAGAAAGCTATTCAGTCCTCATCGTTAGTCAATACATTTGATTATTTCAGTTTTCATCTGTATCCTAGATTTTCTTTTTCCTAAATAGGTTATTTTTAAACATTTTCTCCACAAACCCCACAGTAGGAGCTAACGCTTATAACAGAACATGATTGCAACTAGCACTCTCTGTCATTATAGGGCTAATTTAGAAGATTGCATAACCGTAACAAACACCAGTGGGCTTTGGATTCACTTTCACTCGCTTAGGGCTTTTACAGCATCATGGATTGACAACGAAGGAAGTCTAAAAATGGCTACTTCGCCAGCAGTATCACCACTACCACCCCCACTATTCTGTATCCTGCCCAATAAGTCGCCGGCACTGGTCAGAAAATATGTCTGTGTAGTTTTGATTGCTGATCAGTGCGCGTTTGTGTGTGTATTACGAAAACGGACCAGAACAAAGGTTCTATCCTTATCGTGGATTGGATAAAAAATAATCTGGTTGAAATTAAATCCGGACTACATGCTTTCCAAGTTCAGTTGATCTCACGGTATTTACTTAATTGAATCGAAACTAAACCTGTCGTGCATTAGGAGCATTGAATGTCACAGATTTCTGCTCCCACTAAGTCAACCAGGTGTTTACTCATTGCGTGGAAAATAGTCACCCGATTATTTCTTTTTATATTAAATTAGTTTATAAACAGCTGCTTAAAATCAAACCGACCGCTGTTCTGACATGTAAGAGGCCATTTTAATGGGGTGTTTAGATATTTGTTCTTTAGTATGCCAACCAGCTATTCGACCCTAATCTGAACTTCTTCTTTTAACGATGTGAAAACAAGATTGTCTAATTGGATTTTGACAATCTGTTTATCTTGATCACGGGTCAGGCTGTTGGCGGCTTCGTTGGGCCGCGCCGCTTCATAGCTTCCCTAGAATGGGCACCACCATGTAGCATGGAGCCCTCAGCGGCTGCTGTCATATTGGTTTGAGGCGGATCGAGCATCACTGAATGTTTAAGTTAAGAGTTCGGTGTGTCGAAAGTGGTCTTAGCATCGAGTTGTCACAGGAAGCCATGCTGAGCGCCGAGGGAAAAATCCACCGAGCGCTCGCAAAGTTATTTCCCGGTGACCGGATCCCTCCAGGGATCTCTGTCTCCTCCAGTGGATTACTAGTTGCTTGGTTAAATGATTAGTTTCCTAAAAGAACTAGTCGCATTTACTGGTTCACAAAGATGAATTGATTTAGCCAGTGGGCCCCCTCCCTCCCTCCGCCTCCTCGAATGAATGGGTTCCTGTATTCAGGGCCCAGGCAGCTGCAATGAACAAGATGGCGTTCAAAGCCTTTTTCATCAGCGCTTTTTCTCAGACAGAGAGAGGCAGCTGCCGAGCAGCGGATGGATTCAGCTCTGTCAGCTTCATGCGTCTGATATGTCCCTGTCAGATAAACCTATAGAATGCTTTGTGCTGGATTATTATTATTTTGTTGGATTAATGTTTCCTAGATTATACAATCATTGCTACCAGGTATATGCTAACTCAGGGCAGGGAGGGTGTTGCACATCTAGGCTAATAAGGAATCGGAATAAAACGTGTACCTATGTTAAATATTTTCTATTGCTGTGTGTTGATAAATTAATCCCTGATTTGTAATTAGTGCTTTATGGCTAAAAATGTAATTTAAATGCTTTAAATTGTGGGTTAAACAAAGTTTTGCTTTTAAGTAAAATTACATGTTTTGACTAATTTGTTTTCTTGGCTCTAAATCTCTTAATTAAATGTAAATATGGAAACCTAATGTTATATTTACTAGATTTAGTTCTTAGGGTTTTATATAAATCTCCTTATTGCACTCTGTCACATTAAGCAAAGGATTATACAACCGGCTGTTTTTATTTTATTTAGTTAATGTTTTAAAGTTGATCCTAAAAAGCGTTGGGGTATAAAAACCTTTAGTGTTTTTTTTTTTTTTTCAGTTCAGATAGAGTAGTGTGACCCGAGTGTAACCCATAGTTCAAACACATCTGCTCAATCTATGCTTCTCAGGGGTTCAGCCTTTTTTCCCCCTCTTCCATCCCTTTGGGTTGTAGGGGGGTGCTATAGATTATGACCCTGTGATTTAAACTAGAATCCATTTTTTCCCATGACATTCCAGTAAGGATTATCAACTTGTCAATGTTTTCATTCGTTTCCAGCCTTTTGATACAAGATGTACAGGGGGTTACATTTTTGGGTTTCTGACTTTCATTCATCAGAATTATTGGGCTTCAGTCTTTAATAGTGCTGATTTTTCTTTCTACCTAAAGAAAATGTTCCCAAGGTAAGTTTGAAGCACAATCAATATATATATATCTTTTTTTGTTTGTTACTTTCCAGATATTAGAGTTAAAGTTGAAAGTCTCTTATAAACAGCTCTGCATGAAAAAGGACACTGGGATATTTGATCTTTATGAAATAAGCAGTAAACCATTATGAAATAACATCAAGCAAATTAAAGGGAAACATTGAAATTATTTAGCACTTGACTTGACATGACTCAACAATCCTTTTCATCCATTGCTAGTTAAAGTACCAATCAGTCCGTCAGCCTTAATATGTAGAACACTTAAAACTTTTAAAAGTCTTGTGCAGGGCCAGAAGTTTAAAAGAAAAAAAAAATTAGATTAATAACACATTAGACATTAACTAAGATTGCATCCTTAAGATCTTTTATCCTTACAACTTTTTGTGAAATTAGACTTAGACAGACTTTATTGTCATTTTGTACACAGAGCGCATACTAATAGAAAATTTGTTCAGTACAGCTCTCAAGACATTTCCATTTTTAAAGTGCAGCAGTGATAAAATGTAAACATAAGGCTGGTATATGATTTACAGATTCCAACATTCAGTGCTTTTTTTTTTTTTTAAACCCCATTTTATACAACAGTCAGCAGTCTAATGGTTAAATTCCGGAATCTGCTGGACCTGCATCGGATGCTTCGATATATAATACAGTTTCTCCTTTTTTAATTTTCTCCATTTAAATGCATATACTATTAGAATGTGCTCTTGAAATAATTGTACTTTAGTACAGGGTTTCTTCTCTGTGGTCCTCAGGGCCCACTGTCCTACATGTTTAGGTCTTTCCCTGCCTCCACACACCTGACCTGAATGGAAAGGTGATCAACGGGCTTTTGCACCATTTAAAGGCTGACAAAGGCGGTAATGTGGCCATTTGAATCAGGTGTTCTCGAGTAGAGATGCATCTAAAACAAGCCATTGGCTTGAGTAAAAAATATTAGTGTGATAAAAATATTGCCACTGTTCTGCTACAGCGTTCACTACTGATCCTTTGGTGGGTTGCATCGATTGATCGGCCTTGATTTAGTGAAATCGGCGGTCGGCCAATACTTTAATGTGAAATCAATCTTTTCCCCCAGTTTATCTTCTCCCGCAAAGGCCTGAAAATTCCCCCACTGTCAGTGCTATAATCTATAAATTTCAATTCAGTTCAATTCCGATTAAATATAGCGCTAATTCACAACAAGTCATCTCAAGGCCCTTTACAGAGACAATTCAACCAGATTATGCAGTCAAACTTATTCAAAGTTTTCCATCTAAGGAAAACCAGTTGATCGGATCAACTTATTGACTTGAAGTAAATCCCTCACTCCAAGCATGCTTAGAGCGACAGTGGAGAAGAAAAAATTCCCTTTTAACAGGAAGAAACCTCCAGCAGAACCAGTCTCGGTGTGAGCGACAATCTGCTGAGGCCAACTGGGGTTCAAGGAGGCAGAAGCAGAGATAAAAAAAGAGGCAGAGATTCGAAATGCAACTGCCAGCCTGCTCCACAGACAGCCCCTTCCAAGAAACACACTGCCAGGAAGACGAGCTCTGAGCCAGCTCTCATGTCAGAGCATGAAAGAGAGATCATACAGTTAGTCACAGTCAGAGAAACGGGACTACACTGGAAAAACAGGCCAAGCTCAAACAACCACAATTTTGAGAGTATCTGATTTGCCAAAAATCTGCAATCCATGCACCCTATATTATTTGAATTCCAGCCATCTTGAAGTAAAAGTCTGAATTGCTATGAGGTCTCCAAAGTCAGTGGGTTTTGACTCTCAAGAGTTTAAGCTCAGAAAAAAAGGGCAGGTTGTAGTGGCTTCTGCTCTCACACTTTCATGGTTAGCTTCTGGTTATATTATTTAGAATTGTAATTACCAGAAGATACATATTTTCTGACTGTTGATTTGGAGGACACCACAGCTGTGGAACTTTTTGCTATTGCAGCAGGATTATTATCAGTTAGTGTTAATTAGCACACAGGTTTACATTGCCAACATTGATTTAAAGTGAATCCTGCTGGAATTCTGATACATATGCAGGTCTTTAAATTTTTTTTCTTAGATTTTTACATGTTAAAATTGTTAAAGTGAGGGAAATGGTGTTTTTTTTTTTGTATAAAAGAGATTAATCAATTATATTGAGTTTAAGAATTAGGCATATAAATAAATGGCATGACCCATATAAAAGCCCTGGAAGAATGATGGTTAAAACATGTTTAGAATAAGGTCAGCATATGCAAAGATTCCCATTTGTTTTTATTGCTTACTGTGTGTC